TGTATCTATCACTTACTTTTTTTCCAATGTGTAGACAGTAGCGAGGAATCGACAAAATTAAGGCAGAGATGCATCGCTTTTACATTAGCAACCCATACTGAGCAAAGGAAACTAAGTCCCTCACCTGAGAGGCAGCTGCAGCAGCAGCCAAAAACCATTTTCCACTAGACCTGGCCCACTTGACTGTGATTATTACAGGGTGCACGGACAGGCCCCGCCGGGTCTGCCGAGGGAACAGGCTGGCTTAGAGCATCAGTGCCATCTGAACACTAGCTCAAAAGGTCAGAGCAAAGCTGAAAAGATCCTTCTCCATGGAGCTGAGACGAGCTAGAGACCTGGGTGTTGCGTTCCCCAAAGACAACATATATTGACAGATTAGTCCAAGCTCTTGAGTTTTTCTCAAGAGTGTGCAAGAGCAAGATGAGGCAGTTGCAAAAACCACACGTGCTACGAATAGCTCTCTGCACTGAGCAGAAGCAGGTCACCTGCTCCACAGGATCACAGGACATGCGGTATCATTGAACTAGCATGCAGCTTCAACTGAGGATGCTCAGGTAACCTGGCGGCCAGGAGGAGTGGTAGCTATGTTCACAGGGAGCTGGAGCACTGCAATATCTCAGGAAAGCCAGATGAGAGCCTGCTCTGGATTCCCAGCCCTTTTTCTCCTCAGTACACTCAGCGTGGCTATGAGGGGGATCACCTCTCCCACAGCAAGTCCCTCTCTGTACTTTAAATATTCCAGTTAACATGGTTGTGAAAGACAAGAAATAAACTCTCTAAGGAAAGTCTCTGCAATCCAACCCAGAGCGGGAACAGAAGTGGCCTGCCACTTCTCGCTGCAGCTATAGGAAAATGGAGCATGACTTCTGTATCTAATGGCTTGTGTTTTTATTTTTATGTTTTTATTCCTTATGACCTGACAAATCAGCCTCTTCGCACTGCGCATTATGTATTTCTTGGTGTTTTCCCCAGGTCCTCGGAGACGTGGTGAGTCATTAAACAAGGAATATAAAATGCAGCCGATTCGGGGCTGCATCAAACAAACTAATTCATTTTCTCTCATTCAGCTCTGCTGCGCTTTTGCCATTTATCACTGATGCAGTTTCCATGGAAGCCCCCAGATATATCACAGTGTCTAAAATAAATAAATAAAGAGTCCCATTCGATGGATGAAGTGGAAGGTGATGGATTGCGCAGAGTGAAGTGGCTGTAGTTGGGGGGTCTGATGTTGCTGGCTACCTGACGTGCCTCAGAAACGGATGAGATCGGAATAAATACAACACTTGGGCTTTGGCTGCCCGTGCTGGAAACTGGCGTTTCAGGTCAGGGCTTTTGTAGATGCACAAGTCTTGTCCCTTCCCATGATTTGTTTTGGGGAGACAAATTCAAAGTACGTTTCAGCAGCAGCAGCATGAACAACTGTTTACCGCGTTCAGCCACGCTGCAGTTTCGTACGCTGCTCTAGAGGGGGGCATGCCATGTAGGTATGGTAGGATCCTGGATAAGCATCTGTGAAAAAGTGATGAAACACGAAAGGGAATCCCAATGCTAACATTTAAGGCCAATGTTCACAAGTGTACGTGGTTGCTCCCAACTCTGTACGCAAGAAGCTCGTAGTGAAATCAAGAGGAAGCCAGAAGCTGTGGAGGAGCTGGCCCTGAGTATTTCAACGTTCATGTTCTTGGTGATGCATTTAAGATGTAGCTAGCAAGCCAGAATGACTGAAAACAGCGGAGAAGAGTCCACAATCCGTTTCTGCTCCAGATGCCCAGATAATATGGTGAGGGTGGTGTTCAGGTAGACAGTTAAGACAAACAGCACATAGCCTGTGCAATTTATCACCACAGGAGCCCTGGAGTTCAAGACTGTAGCTAGAGTTTTAAATTGGCTGAGAATGCTGTGACTAATTATGATTATAGACCACCCTGCGATTTCAAAGGGCTTTGGAAGCCCCAGAAAATGGGCACACGAGGAGTGGGTGGAAACCTAAGTCTAAATCCTAACATCACAGAAAGGTAAAGCACTGAATCTAAGCAGCACATCCTAAGAGAAGGCGAGGGGGGAGACTGTCATTTGCTAATGCAGTCAGAAAAACACGAAAGCATCACCCTTTACGAAAAGAAAACGCTTCCATTTTCATGGAAACATTAAGTGCTAATTTCTGCAAACACAAGACAGAAAAACGAGTTTGCTAGAAAGGGAAAAGCAAAGTGACAGCTCCAAGCTCTTTGCTTGTAGCTGCAAGACGGAGGTGTCTCCTCTTACCTATGCAGCTGGGCTGGGTCCCGCTCCACGTCCCGTCGGACTGACAGAACCGCCGGGCTGATCCCACCAGCACTAGTGGGGCTAGGCAGGAGAACGAGACAGAGGAGCGGTACGTGAAGCCTCTGTCTTCCCTCCTGCCTTGAGCTGGTATCCCAGGATCACCGCAGAACACAGCTGGAACAGGCAAAGGGACGAGAGGATTGCGACAGGCTGCCTCAAGAGCAAGCAATGTTAATAAGCTAAAGATAGGTCTATTAATGGCCCAAACCTGACTACTCCTTGCCATCAAACTCTCTGCGAACGCCTAGGAAATTACTAGTGACAGGTGTTGCTGGCTACTTTCCTGGCAATTCTGTCTTTTTATCTATTGCTGTTAATTAACTTCCACTTTATCCGCCATTTTTTTTTTGGTAGTAACAGCATGCTTAGCTTTAAAAGGTACCTCTAACTGCACAATGTCAAGTTGCTACGTGTTCTGTGTCACACAGAAAGCCCGCTAATTAGATAAGATCCAGGGGAAAGGTGTAAGGAACACAGTCAGGGCTTTGTATGATTTAATATGAAAATGGCCATTGTGCAGCTGCCAGCCATTCAACCAGGAAAAGAAACTCAAATTCGGCTTTATCATTATGAGACGTTTAACTAAATTCTTGTATTAGCTATTATATCACACATACAGGTTTCCACCCAGGCAAAGCTCTGCCCTCACAAAACATTCCTAACCTCTGCTGCAATAACAGAGCGCCCTTTTCCAAACATTTCTTCTAAGGCTTCTAGCTGCTTCAAGAGCCCTGCTTTCAGAAGTCTTCAGTCACTAGGGAGTCGCATGGACAAGGGGCCAGAGCTTTTAAGACGTCTGGTGCACCGAGAACACGCGCGGTGCTGAGACTCTTTGCAAACCTGAACTCGCTCCTACATAAAAAAAAGAGGTGGAGTGACTGACTTTGCTTCCCAGCACACCTCCCAGGGGCCGTTACTGCCTCCTCGTCACAGAGACGGCCAAGCAAGGCACGCAGCAATTCGGCTGGTGTCAGCGCCCAGACTTTTGGCCACAGCCACTCTGAGCACCTTCATCGTTTCTCCTAGCATGCAAAATTCCCACTGACTTCAGTTAATCCAAGGCTTTCCAAGGGCTTACGGGTAGGAATCTTGGCAACTGGATATTTAACTTTCATGCATGTTGAGTGGTGGTACCATAACTGCTGGGAAAACTTCCTTCAACTTTGAAGGTAGTTAGAAGGAGACAGAGGTACCTCCAAAAGGATCTGAGGGCCACACTGCTTTCTGGAAACATGCAGCTCCACTAGCCTAGAGGGAGCAAAGTCAGGCAACTCACGGAAGTGAGATGAATCTGGATATCCCGTCTGAAGTTAGAAAGAAACGAGCTCTCCTGCAGAGGCCCATCTGCACCCTCTGTGATGGGTGGAGAATACTACACGTCCACTGAACTGCCAGGCATGGCAGAGATGACACTAAAATCGGTTAGGTGTGGACCAGAGATGGGGGAGAGAAGACCCTGAACAACTGGGTAGGCAAACAACTACATGGCTGTCTACTCACGAAAGCACTGTGGGATTTCTCCACTCCAAGTCCCGTTGCCTTCGCAGGTGAGGATGGCGGGCAGGGAGAGCTGGTATCCTTCTAAACACGCGTAGCTCACGCTGGCACCCCAGCTGAAATCCGAGCCCACAACTTTCCCGTTGGGTATGGCTTGCGGGGATTTACAAATGATAGCTGAGTGAATGAAAAACAAAAGCGTGTTCAGTTCTCACGGCTCCTCAGCATAGCTATTCCCATTAACAAAGAAATTCATGTAGCATCAAAGTTATATTCTGCTCTCAGGGAATATCTCCTAGGATCGGGCTAGCAGGCGGTCTGGGAAAACTTTTCCAGCTGTGCGTGCGGTTGTAAACCCTAGGATTTTACTTTGAAGTTTGGAATTAACCAAATCCCAAATCTCAAAGTCAGATTGCTAAAAGCCTGTGTTCATTTCCAAGCAAAGTTAAGAACCCAGTCTGACTTAGTATGAAAACTCACCAAGGATTCCCTGAAAGAGTCATAGATTTTGGACAACCTGGCCGAGTTTCAGATTAGTAGTCAAATCAACAGCTAGTCTGTATTTCATCCACTCTGGGGTGTTTTAACATGACATTTTTGCAGTGCTCTGCTTTCCAGCTCAGGGGAGCACTGGGAAAGACACGAAGCCCGTGCAAATTAGTCTGGCCCCCAAATGAGACCTGACCACGTTCTGTATTATTCCTGCAACATTAGCTCAGCGGTGAGAATGAAAAAGGAGTAAAAAGAATTGCTCTTTACAGCCTCTGAAGGAACTGGAGTATATTCGGAAGTTTCTGCGTGGTCTGCATTTATATCAGCATCCTGACAGGTAAATTCTCCAGACTGCAAAAGGCAAAGTACATAGATTCTGCTACAAGCCTTATCTACATTTGCTGGATGAGTAAAACACTGGCAGAAAAGATCCAGTCTGTCCTGAGACTGTTATTTCTCTTTCCTATCTTCAAACTACAGAGGCAATCTCAGAATAAAGAAATAACGAAAGGAGTTGGAAGAAACACTTTCCAGACTTCTAAATCATGCCGAAAAAGCGTGTGCCTGCAAAACAGGGTGCTTCCTTCAAGTCTGATCTGAGTTTTTGTGAAGAGTAAGTCACTTAGCAGTCTGGGCTTCACTTTTCCTTCTCTACTGTATGGGTAATAGCAGTTCCCTCCCTTCCAGGCATGTTGCGATGATTGATACACCTAAAGAGGGCAAGGTGTTCATGCTATGTTGAAAAAATTGCCAAAGTGCCATAAATACAGGGTACAGATTGAATGATAGGACTGACAAACTCACAGGTGGGCTCCAGGCACTGTGCAGCAGCTTCTCTTAACAGCCTATTACCCTGTCACAAGTTACGGGAAGTTTGTGGCCTGTTACACTTATATCCTCAGATATTTTTATAGCAACCAGTCTTACCCTTGCAGGCGGGTTTGGTGCCGTTCCAGGTTCGGTCTTTTGTACAAGCTAGAGAGGAGGCCCTGTCCGACTCCATCATATACCCAGGCATGCACTGGAACACCACAGTTTTATTGTAGGTGAAGTCACTGCCCAATCTAATACCGTTGGCTGGCACACCAGGGTCACCACAGTTGATCACTGCCAAAGGAAAATAAACAAGCGTTTCTGGCTGACCATCCCTTGTCTCATACTCATGGAACTGCAATAACTAGAACACCTGATGGTCCCAAGTGTTTTTTGGAGCAGGATGTCATGCACTAAACGCAGAAAAGGGAGCATTTAGCACAGAGCGGTTGGAGAGCTAGGCTAGCTGGAGCAGGCTGGCCTGTAGTACATAGAGAAAACTTTTCCTCTATTCAGTGGAGGGAACAGGAACGTTAACGGCACATTAAGACCTTGCAAGAAGTATTAACATACATTAAACATTAAAGAAAACCTAGGTCAGGCGTGGGCCACGTCTGGAATAGTTAGCACGTGGCAGCCCCTCCTCTCCTTAGCCTAGATACCATCTCACATTTATGTAAGAGCATGTTTGCCATCATGCACGTTGCTCATGGAGGCCGTGGCAGGTCTGAGCCATAAGGAAACGCAACTCATTCAGCAAGGGCCTCTGAAGTCAGGCTGCGCCCATGCACGTTCCAGCTGCCGGCACGCCGACGGGCACGAACGCTCATGTTCAAAAGCAGCCCAGGAGAGCGCCTCCAGGACGGCTGACGTTACTCACGGAACTGATTAGAGAGAGCCCTTCACTTGAGTGGGGGGAAAAAAACAAATCCAAAGCAAGAGTTTTCCATTAGGTACTCATAGAGATTGCAGGCTGCGTGCCTTCCGCTGACACCAGACAGTTTAGCCGTTTCTCAGCGCAGTGCGCTTGTGCGTTCACAGCCGCGCTGAGCCTCCAGCCACGTGCTGACGAGCCGCCCCCAGAGCCTGGCAGCGCCGTTCAGCTCAGCTTCCAGGAGCCCGTCCCCGCACTCACCTGTGCACTCTGGAGCGCTCCCGGTCCACGTCCCATTCACTGTGCAGTGCCTGCTCAGCACCCCTGTGGAGTAATAGCCTTCCCGGCACTGATAGATAATGGAACTGGAGAAAACCAAGCCGTCATTAAATATAACCCTTGCATTGCTGGGGGTTCCCGGGTTTCCACAGGATATAACTGGAAAGCAAAATGGCAAAGTTAAATAAAAAACAAGGCTTTTGTCCGACAGCTGACCATACTCAACGGAAGTAAGCTGAGCTGCAAACCCACTTGACCAAATCAGACAGGATTGGCTAGCCTAGGGAAAATTTGCTACGTTCCAGTAGCAGAAGAACCAGTTCTACGTCCACTTGCTGCACATCCACTTGCAGACTTCAGCTGGGAAGTTGCAGCAACCTGATCAGTAACTTAGCCATTAACAGAGGGATGCTGGCAGGGTCACAAGGCACCTTATTTGGTCCTGAAGATGCTCAGGCCCAGACAGGGACATCTGAGCTAGCAACGCAGACCTCACTCCAGCTCTCAATTTCAGGTCTGTTCCTACATCTTTATAAAGCAGGAGGTGCTAAGCCTGGTGTCCCTCCATCTTCCAGGCATTCAGGCAGCTGGACCCGTGCACACCAGCTTCGCCTCCTGTCCGTGCGGGACACCAACAACTTTGCAGACTTCAGAGGAAGGAGAGCAGCAAGGGGGCCTGCTGCCTGCCACAACGGCACTGCTCGCTGCCCAGCTCCATCCAGTTACGCTTCCGGAGGAGGGAGAGCATTAGGGGAAGTGTAATTACAGGTTTGTCAGTGCCCAAGTTTTATGTCGATACTATCTCAGCACCACAGCAATAAAAGGACATCAGACTGAACGGTGGCGCGTGAAGCCCTGTCGTGACAAAAATAAGCACCTGCAATAATTGCGTCCAGCCTTTGTTTACCGTGAAATTAAAGGACGTGAAAGAAAATGACATGAATCAAGGAAAGGCTGAACCTGCATGCTCCCATGACAAGGAAATTCCTTGCTCCCACCCCTCCCCAGCAATATGCTACAGTCTCTGCAAGTGCATCACTTGTGCATACACCGGTGTCCCACCCTTGCTCTGAGACTGTTATCCTCCCCAACACACGTGCACAACTCAACGTTGCCTGCAACTTGAAGTCACAGTAGGAAAGCAAAGTGCACAGGCCACCAACGCAAGGAGTGAAGTCTTCCTCTCCCTTGCTGCGTGACAGCCTGTTAACAAACGAGCCTGCTGGAAGCATATCTGTTTGACAGGAAGAAACTAATAACCATTCTGGACTGCAGGCACAGAAACTCTACATGGCACTAAAATCGTTTGAATCGTTGCTCTCTAGTTACAGATTTCTCATGCAGTCAATGTCTCTGTGATACAAGGTGCCATTTCCAAGAGATGCTGGGATAAAAATCAGATTCTCTCAACTCAGAAAAAGCTCTAAATTACTATTTCACTGCCCTGTTCATGCACCAGCTGTTCTCTCCTGTCCAACTTCCTCCACCTATGCATGTGGCCAAACACACACAGATGACCCCAGAATACTGCTTCTGTGAATATCAGGAGGCTCACAAAAATGGTCTAATCACAGTGTAAATCAGCTGCAATCTGTACAGTCTAGATATAAATAAGCTGCAAACTTAAGGATGAAAGGCTTAAACTTCAAAAGTTGTAATTTAAATATAATTAGAACCCAACCATGCCAAGTAAGCAGTAACCGGGTAAATAATTCCCCTTGTCCTCAGTGGGAGATGTAAACGGAACGAAACCCCAGAAGAAAACTGGCTTTGGCACTAGTTTTTGAACAGAGAATAAATCAAAAGACTCTGGTTCTTCCATAATCGTATCCGCTCAAAACTCCTTAAGAATCCCAAACCCAGCAACCTTTAAATTGAAGTCAAAATTCAAGAAAATAACCTGAAAATCAACTGCATCAAATGGGGATTCTCGGAGCTGCTGCTGTGGAATATTTCAGGAGGTAACGCTCAGCTGAAACGACTGATGTGACACAACAGGCTCGAGTCAGCTGCAGCAAGGAGCGCAAAGGCGCCGAGAGCCGGTCCCGGGCGCTCGGCTCGCTCCCGAGCCCGGCTCGGCCACGGGCGCGATCACGATGCCAAACCACGCGCGAGTTCCCTGCCACTATTACAAACGTTTTAGACGTTGCTGGCACTTACAGGTTGTTACAGAGCTCTCCACTTGGGGCTTTCTGGGATTTTTTGTTTCTTCATCAAAAGTAAGTTTTGTGCTTACAGGATTTCTACGAAGCCCTTTTGGAGCAAACCCCACGGACGCCCTGGGAAAGGTAATCTCTCTCTGCTGAAGACGAGGAGAGGGGCCTGCGCCACAGGGCAGATCAGACGGAGAACCGCGACCAGCCAAAGCAACTGCTTCTTGCTGCGGGTTTTCAGCCGCGTTTCGAGCCGGCAGTGAGATTTCCCTGTGGACTTGCTAGCCCTCGGCCCGGAGAGAGACGGAAACCGAGAGAAACGGAGCCTTGGAGAGCACCCCGCCGGGCGAGGGGGCCGGGGGCCTGGAAAAAGAACGGGGACGTGTGCCGGTATCCCCCCAGCCCCAGCACGTATACGCGTAACCTCAGACACGTACCCACGGAACGAGGTTTTCCAGGCAGCTTCAGGCCAACGAGCGGGACGAGGAGAACTCAGGCTCCGAGTTCCTCTGCTGAAAATCTAACGGGAAACGGCGCAGCAGGAACCAAGCACTTGAGAACGTGTTCCTGAACCCTCCTAAAACTTCTTGCCCTAATCTGACGGCTGTGAGCTCCTTTCAGCACTTCATCGCTTCCTCAAGTCTGCTGTGAAGTCAAGGGCCTCCTGCCTCACTTCTCTCTGTCGCTCTCTAATTCTTACATTTGCAGTTATCAAACTTGAATGGCTACTAACTGGCGTGATTTAAAGCAGGCCGAGCGGCCGCAGCGAGCGTGACGGCAGGCTGCACCTGCTGTCACTGTCACACGCTCTCTCCAGCGCTTCCTTAGAGAGCAAGTCTGGTTTTTGAGGATGCTTGCTTTGTGCCTGCACGCAGGGGCAGCGTGCAAGAAGAGCCAGCAGGGGAGTTTTGCGTCTGCTTGGCCTCTGAATGCAGCCTGAGCCGTTTGCTGGGCGCCAGTCGCTGCTGGGCCAGCTGGGAAGCTTCTCCTCTACACTACAAAGCAGCCTCTGCTATCTAAAACACAGCAAAGCACAGGGGTGCTCTAGAGCTCAGCAGTAATTAGTATGTTTGATTTTAATCCGTGCATCCTTTTCCTGAAAA